TTTGGTTAACTAAAAATAAAAATTCATACAATTTTACGCTAAATCGACGCTATATAGCATCGAATTAGCATCAGATACGTCTTGTCTCGACGCTAATTCGACGCTAAGTTAGCGTTGATTTAGCGTCGGATATGTCTTTTATCGACGCTAAATTAGCGTTGAATTGGCGTCGACATAAGACGTTTCCGATGCTAAATCGACGCTAAATTAGCGTCGACAAAAGACGTATCCGATGCTAATTTGATGCTATATAGCGTTGATTTAGCGTCGAAAGATAGCATCGATTTAGCATCGTATTAGCGCCGAATTTATTTTAGCGTCTACAGTTTAGCGTCGAAAAGTGATTCGATGCAAAAACGACAATAACTGCCTTTAGCGTCGATTTAGCATTGAATTTTGTCGATACTAAAATTGTGTTTTCTTGTAGTGAAAGACTTTTAAAAACATTTAGAAAGCATTTGCGTCTCTAAGGTTAGGATACAAAGGAACAGAGCAAATAAATTTTAAAAAAAAAGGATAATAGAGCATCACTCAAGTTTAGCTACTAATGGGAACTCTGGCTTAAAAGGCCTACGAGTTATTATTTATGGTGGTGGAAGCAGCAGAACCGGTTGCTATCTCGAGGCCTTTGAGCTTGTAGGAAAGAGGAAACAAGAGGAGATTAGAGACCCATCCATAAAACCAGACCATTTAGTGAGACTAATACCTTTCCAAATTGCCTTTGTTGTTCAAAATCTCTCTCATTTCTCAAACTAAGCAACACAATTAATTCTACCAAGAAACCCCAACTGATATAACTAAACAATGAAAAACGAGACATCCAAGTAAAGAAAGAAACCTAAGTGATAATAAGAGGCATGCAGCGGATAGCATATACCTTAGTTTGAAAATAGCCGTTGCTTTGCTTCTTCGTCTTCCCATTCGAGTTCTTGAATCCATTCCTTCTCTGCGCTGATGACAAGAGTATGTCCTTGCGCGCTCGCAGAATTAATCAGAAGTCTTCTCAAATGTGGACAGCTTCTTATCTTGATTTCTTTCAATTCTGGAAATGGCAGAGCCTCCCAATAGATGGTTTTCAGTTCTTCCAAGCCTTCTAAAACAAGCAGCTCCAGTTTCTCGAAAGGAATCATGTCGAAGCGAGCAGAACAGCAAGAGATAGCTCTCTCTTTCCTTATGATTTCTTCTACATTCGTCGCCTGCACACTCGTAGAGTAGCAAGATTTGGAGCAAACAACAACCATGTCAAGTCTCTTAAGCCAGCACAACCTACCAAACTCACTTCTTTGAGGTTACATAACAATATCCTGCTTTGGTCTACCGTGATTCGTGTTATGAAAGACCTTAGTACCGAGATGCAGCGTGTACCACTAGGAAATGTTGTGACAGAGAGTGGACAAGATATTAAACATAAATCAAAGTATAAATCTTGAGTGCGCAAGTTTGGGACTGGTTGTAAATTGTTGCACCACATCCTCATATGCTAGAGTGATGGTTATGAATTCTAGATGCTCGAAAAGCTCTAACTCCTCTACGACATTGTTGTTTACCTGGAAACCAGAATCACACAATCTCAGGACTAGGATACTGGTTAGAGCTGAGATTCCTTTGATGTCTCTGAGCCAAAGTGTATGCTCCAAATTCTAGCCCATCAACTTTTTTAGCTGTAACAAACCATCCGGGAGTCGTTTTATATGCGTAGTGAAGTTTGCTATGAATTGGAGGTCGGTCATCAGGAGGAGATCATACGTTTGGATGATGATTATAAAAGATGAAGAGCAAGTATTAGGTATCCAGAAGATGTAGCTAAAGTTGCAAGAAAAGATGTTTGTGGAAAGTGTTAGGGACTGTTATTGCTTATCATTGCAGCACAAAGAAATCTTGACCGAATATTGACCGGAGAAAAATGGTGGACCGAGTGTAGAATTCTCATGGAAGATGGAGTAGACGTGCTAGAACTTTATGGTGTGCCAAGAGTTGGCAAGACTACTCTTCTTTCTCATATCAACAATGACTAAGGCGAGAGAGAACGATTTCAACATTGTATTTGGGTTGGTTTGGGTCAAGATCAAATTATTAAAAGGATTCAAGAAGACATTGCAAAATGCTTGGAACTCTATGACCAAGTATGGGAAGGAAAATCAGAGCACGACAAGACTTTTGACAAACGTGAAACCTTAAATATGATGAAACACACCTTGTTAGTAGATGACATGGTGCTTACAATAGACGTACACAAAACATGATTGTTTCGAGGGGTAGGCATAAATATTCGTTACTCGTCCCATACCCATTTTTTTGTCGCTTACTCTGTTTGAAAAAGACAAGTATACATTATTATCAAGGCAAGTATAATTTAGGTATTTGCAAGTACAAGTAACAAGTATTAAAAACAAATTCTTAATTTACTCGTTACTTGTTATATATAGTTAATATTTTATATACATATTTTTATTATTGTGTTATTTT